ATTTCCTTATAATTTAAAACATATCTACGCGTAGATCATGATGTTCTGTTAGAATCGCTGAAAACTGTTTTCCAAAATTCGCAGCGGGTAGTGTATAGCATCGATTTCTGTGGAACCCAGTAGCTGTCAAAACTTTCACATTTTTACGAATAACTCGGAAATCGTAAATTCTTCAGGTAAAACGTTTGACACAAACTTAACTTAAATTTTGACGACAAATCTGAAAATGAATGAAAAAAGGGGCGGTTCCATTTAAAAAACCAAAGTTGGTAACTGCCACACGTTTATGATACACCCCGTATATTGGAAAGTAATTTTAAAATGTGGACCTTTTAAACATGAAAAACTTTCGTAGGACGTATTTTCTTGTAAAGTTCATATTTACTGAGATATCGCACTTTGACGCACTAATGAGCAACCCTGTATATACTGACTATGATTGACTTATTTCAACCAATGTGAATTTTAATGTAATTTTTTAGTATTTTAACTGGATGGTCGTGTTTTAATTTTTTATCTGTTGTGAAGCTGAGTTTTAAGTGTTTTCTTTATTTTTAAATTTGTATTGTATAACAATGTCACACACTAAGTGTTAAAACTCTACCAGGCTCTAGGCTAAAAACCCCTCAGTTTTCCATTTTAGAGCCCTGAGGATGACTTGAATAAAGTCGAAACGTTGGCCCATGAAAAATTAGTGTTTTATTTTGCCGCCATACGTTGACCGAAAATCCCACTATTGAAAAATTTGTTACTGACAGTCTAGAAAGCTGAAGATCAAAAAGTGAAGAAAAACTTTTGAGGAAAGTCCCGGAGACGTTGGAAACAGTGATGGTATGGAAATCCACGAGCTAATTTTCAAACCAAAGCTGAAAAGCCGAAGTTTTTAACAATTGCCAGACTGTCCAGGAAGAAAAAGTGGCATTCAAAAGTTGCCGTTTTGCAGAAAGAATAAAGCAGAAAAAACGAACGAGAAGTGAAAAAAATGAACCCAAACTTTTGAAATAAATGAGGCAGAAGAACAATTTGTGAAGGCACAGAACAGAAAGTTGAAGGTCAAAGAGTGAACGCAAAAGCTTTTGAGGAATTTGCCGCAGAAGTTGGCGATAATGATGATATGGAAATCAAACGAGCTTAATTTGAAACCAAAGCTGAAAAGCCGAAGTTTTAATGAATTGCAAGATAGTCCAGAAAGGAAAGAAGTCGAATGCAATAGCTGCAGAGAGAAAAAGTTAAGGAACAAAAATGAACAAAAAATTAAAAAAAACTAATGCAAACTTATGAAAGCAACGAGCTAGATGAGAATTTGTGAAGGCACAGGACAGAACGTTGAAGACCAAAACGTGAACTGAAAAACTTTTTAGGAAAGTGCTGAAGAAACTGGCAGCACCGATGGTATGGAAATCAACGAGCTAATTTTGAAACCAAAGCTGAGAAGCAGAAATTAATTTGTGAAAACACAGGCCAGAAAGTTGAAGATCAAAACGTGCAGACAAAAACTTTTCTGGAAAGTGCTGGAGAAACTGGCAACACTGATGGTATGGAAATCAACGAGCTAATTTTGAAACCAGAGCTGAACAGTCGAAGTGTTAATCAATTACAAGACAGTCCAGAAAGGAAAAAGTCGATTACAAAAGTTGCAGTGAGAAAAATTGAAGGAGAATAAACGAATAAAAAATTAATGCAAACTTCTGAAATTATTGAGCTAGAAAATAATTTGTGAAGTCACAAGCCAGAGATGTTGAAGTTGACGACAAGTTGAAGATCAAAAAGTGAAGACAAAAACTTTTAAGGAAAGTGCCGGACAATTTTGAAACACTGAAGGTATGGAAATCAACAAGCTACTTCAAGCTAAATCAAAATCAAATGAGCTAAATCAACTAAGCTAATCGAACCGAAGCTGAAAAGTCGAAGTTTTAAACAATTGCGAGACAGTCGAGATAGAAAAATTAGCAAACAAAAGTTGCAGTTTTTCAGAAAAAATAAATCATAAACAACGATCAAGAGATAAAAAATCAAAGCAAACTTTTGATATAAAAGAGCTAGTAGAAGAATTTGTGAAGACACAGGCCAGAAAGTTACAGATCAAAAAGCAAACACAGAAACTTTTGAGGAAAGTTCCGGAGAAGTTGGAAACACTGATGGTATGGAAATTGGAACCAAAACCGAAAAGTCGAAGTTTTAATCAATTACAAGACAATCACATTACCGAAAGAGAAAGTCGCATACAAAAGTCAAAAAAATTAACGCAAACTTTTGAAATAAATTAGTTAGTAGAAGAATTTATGAAGACAGGCCAGGAAGTTTAAGATCGAAAAGTGAACACAAAAATTTTTGAAGAAGTTGCTGGAGAATTTGAAAACATTGAAGCTCCGAAACCGAAAAAAATCCATGCGTCCTTTACAAAAGGGAAATAAAGAAAATACTGAAAAATAGATGTGTGAAGCTGCTGGAGAAAAATGGGGAACTTTATGAAAAATCTTCTTTTGCAAGAAATCAAGCATTTTTATTTGATGATGATGATTTGATGAATTTTAAGAAATTTATTTGAAATCATTCTCCTTCTACAAGACTTTTTTGATTTTAGCTAAATTTAACATGTAGATCAAACACACCAAAAGAAACGTGAGAGATGTTGGCAAACGTAAGGAGATGTTGGCAAAATTAATTCAGCGGCTTTTTAACTAATAGAGAAAAGTCAAGGCGCATTTATAATTTGGGGACCAAACAGCCAACAGCTTTTTTGGAGCCACAAAAATTTTAAAATAATTCAAAGGAAACAAGAGCAACGAATGAAATGATAAAAGTTAGGCAACGCAAAAAATTGGCACATAAACGAATTTCTTTTGTAGATAAATTAAAAGAACTCAAGATAAAGCTGTCTTTTAAACAGTCAGTTTATTTTATACGCATTTTTACTCGCTTTGTTTGCAATTTTTTAGGGAATGTTTGCTAGCCACATCAGAGCTACTGAATTAAAAACGAAACGAGAGCGCATATTGGTTAATTTAACAGCTAATTTTTCAAAGCGTTTTTCCATAACAGTTTTAATTCGATTACAGTCAATTAGAGGATTGGCACCCGCAAGGTGCAATTTTTCTTCGTTATTTTTCTTTAATGTAATTAAAAAAGTTGTGTCACAAGCTGCAGGAAACTCTTGTTCAACGTGACAGATCAGGGCTTTTAACCAGCTGCTTAATTGGGTCTAATATATCTCGATTGGACAGGCGCACGTTTTAAATTTTAAAAGAAAGTGCAACAAATCGCACTGCTTTGGCCTCAGCGAGAGAAAATAATGGGGCGTTGCAGAACAGGCAGAGAGGACAAGCAAAAAAAGCGAGGGAAAAAGAAAAACCTCCATCTTTCCGAAAAGACAATTTTAGAACGAAAGTAAAGGGCCGCAATTATTTAAACTCCACGAACCATGTCTAGAGAGATTTTATTCGGGGATCGGCTTGTTTGTTCGAATTGGGAGACCGTCTAATTTAATTTTCTCTGCGGGTTTCGGCTAAATAATCATTTCTAGACAGTAGACATTTTTTCGAATGTTACATTGTAAATTGTGTAGAAAATGCTTTCATACACAAAGCATTGCTTGCTACTTGCCACATTTTGGATTTTGCAGATCTGGGAAACAAAATGATGTAGACGAATGTGAAAGGCTCACGACTCAAAAACTCACCAGTTTCAAACAAAGGGTGCCTAAGCTTTTTGACAACTTTCATTATTTTATTATAAAAAACTGAAATATAAATTGCTACGTGATATAATGGTTACAAGCTCCAATAAAATATCGACATGTTTTTTATATAATTTCCTATCAAATAGTCATGTAACAATTCTTTTCGATATCAACAAAAATCCGCTTATAGTCCGTATTGGCTTATTTATTAACAA